TGAAACGAAATTGAATGTAGATATATTTTCGATTATATTCGTCAAAAAAAAAAAGTAATTTTACAAAATGATAAATAATGTGAAAATGAAAAAGAATAGAATTAGAATAGAATGAAAACAATTGGATATAAAAATATAAAATGATAATAAAATAAAAATTGGTCTATCTAGTATTCCAAGATTTGGGATTTACATCATTTACAAAACTTGATAACAGAGAAAGATGTAGTAAACTATTATAATTTTACAAACGGAATATTTGCTAAAAATTTGAATATTATATTATATATTTCTATTTACGATGTTTATATGGATAATATTTGAAAATTCGAAAATAAACTATAAATATAAATATATATAAACTATAAAATTAAAAATAATGATACTTACCTATATTCGATAAATCCGTGTATGATGAGTATCGCTAAATGAAATTTACTTTTCCACGTGATACCTAAAAGAAAGTTAATAAAACTGGCACCGCTTTAGTATTCGTTCTTCTTTTATATCGATTCGCTGATCTTCGATATCTCCCTACCATCCGAATCGTAATTGCAACCTTGTATCTACTTATTTTGGACGTATCATATTCAAAAATTTCTTAACAATTGGCAAAATAATTTTCTTAATTTATTCTCTTTTCCTTCTTCCCTCTTCTTCTGCCAACTCCTTTTGCACTTTTCCTCGCCCCTATTTATCTATAATGCGTACGAATATTTATGAATAAAAAGTTTTAATATTTATATTATTTTTTTATCGTATCATTACTTTATATATATATATTTTTTATATATAAAAAAAATAACTTTGTTTTACATAATACAACGAAACAATTGTAACGCAACTTCTTATTCTTCTTATCTCTCGGATTATTCTCAATTACTTTGAATCTTTTAAGCAAAACATTTTTTAATTAAAAAATAAAAAGTGATTATATTAAAATAATCATAAATATATTAAATAATTCAATGTTTAAGCAACATACGCCTGTGCGTATGAAAATGTATATATTTTTATGTATACGTTTTAAAAATAATTCATCATATTTATATTATATCTAATATTTGACATAGTTAATGTTTAAAAATTATAAAAAATATATCAACTTTTAGAAAACTTTAAATTATATTATATTTGTAATAATTTATATATATATATGGTTAAATATAATTAATTTAAATTTCTTAATACGATGAATGCATAGTATTACTCGTCGTATTATAATATGATTGTTCCCACTTTATGTGATCATTTTAATATTGTCAGTTTTAAATGCTTCGGTAGCCCATCTATCATTTTCTATTATTAGAAATTTTTTATCTATCATTATCTATCGAGAAGTTTGAATTTTGATTCATCACGTTATATTGGCATTTTTTCGTTAACTATTGACTGTTACTTGTATAAATGTTCGTCGTATATATGTAAAGCTCGAACATATATATATCGACACTATTTTAACTTACGAAACTCATCCTCCACAATCTTTTGTTTCGCTTTTGTTATTTGAATATTGTTATTTTTTTTTTATTATTATTATTTTTTCAATCATCGAGCAATTTTTTTTCACTTCAAGAAATACAAAATCTAATATAAAATTTTATTTATATGCGTGTTACATATTTTGAAATTAAAAATTCGTATTCTTAATATGCCGTATAATAAAATTACAAACATAGATGACCGTATACTAAAATTTACACGGAATAAAGTTTTATATAACATAAATATGTAAATATATTTAGATATTTGAAATAGGGATTAAATTATGTATATATGTGTATAAATTTTTTCTTGTTATCTACAAAATTAATATATGTATGAAATTTTAAATAGATAATCAAGAGCAATTGATTGACGATTAATTTCGATTCGATTTCGATTAAACTTTCAACTTCTCTTTTTTATCTGTTTTTGAATTTTGATAGCTCTTGCTATCCTCCCTCTTTTTTGAGCGCGTTTTCTCTGAAAAGTGACAAATACGAAACGAAAATCCCTTTGTTCGATTCGATGAATGAAAAAAAAATATTGTTGTACTGAAAAATATCTTCCCTTCTCCTAACTTGAATATAATACTTTATTTCAACTATCTTATAATTATTTGAAATTATGACACGAATATAACATTGAAAAATCCGATAACATTGAAAAAAAGATATCGGATAAAGAAATTTTATATACCGTACATTGGATGAAATATCTTCGTATCGTTCATATTTTATCCTCGTGATTCTACCATTCAAAAACCTCTGACATAGAGTGATTCGAATGCAAATGAATATTTAGTTTTTAAAAATGTGATCGAAAAATACTTGAAAATAAAATAATTTGAAATTTTTATGTGAAAAAAAAGATACCAAAGATTTTAAAATAATATGCGTGAATATCTCTTAGGACTTCTCTTCCGATTGAAAAATGTATAAAAAAATATAAATGATGTATAAAATAAGTAAAAAAAAAAAGAGAAGTAGGAATTATAAAAAAGAATTAATTGAAAGAATTGATTAGAAAGCATTAAAATCTTCGAATTAAGATTGAGTTAAAGAAAAGGGTGCATTAAAAAGGAAAAGAGTAAGGAGGGAAGGAGAGATAAATAGATAGATAGATAGATAAATAGACAGAGAGAGAGAGAGAGAGAGAGAGAGAGAGATAGAATATCTATTTGATT